AAATAACGAAGTTATCCCCGAACACACATAAAAATATATACGGTCGAATTGAGAAACCCCTTCCTTTTTTGAAGTCGGTTAAAAATTTGGCTGTGATGAAATCAATTGTAAAGTTTTAACTCGTTTCGGAATATTTTACAATATTATGAAAGCTTCTGACAAATATACAACGCGATCTTACCTAAAAACGACACGCTCTTGATATACTGTATTATTTTACCTTTCCAATGGTAATAACACATATTTGTCGCAACAATATCTTTGCTTGACGAAGACAGTGGGATATATCAGTAAAAACATGAGATAACAGAAATCCTGACATTTGTGGCATATTTAAAACATATTTAAGTTTTAAAATATTATACTGACTTAACAATTAACCTAGCCTTTCGTAAGTAATCCCCGTAAAATAACAGCAACATTTTTGTTATAATGAAATATAACGCAATCTACTCGTCTTAACACATTAATTAAATAAAGAAGAATAATAAACTCAATGAAACGATTTGACACAAACAATTTATTTATTATATTGAATATTTAAAAAAAAGTTTTCACGCATGAAATAAAAACATGCATGCATGTAAATGTGTTATAATGCCATTATAGACAATGATATTATATACAAGTAAGAGGTAAATAATTATCAGGTATTATGACAGCGTTAAACTCCTTGAATTGATCATTCTGATTACTTCAGAGTTTAACAATCCTTTTGGCAACTCAAATAACATTTGAGAGCAGCTTATTAGTTAGCTTCTATGATGATCGGTGTTTCAGAAACCGCGCTCGAGGCACTCAAATTATTACACCAATTAGTGTAATTAGATTGAAATTCTATAGACTGCTATCTCTTTCCATATCATACTTTCTATATCATCTGTCACATTCAGTGATATATGTCGTAAAATACAAAACGGAACAATTTTTAAACGACACGCAGTATGGACAAGCTTTACCTATATTATTAAACATCGTTGATAATAATAAAAAAAAATTACATAACCTAAAATATAAGTTTGACTGATAATAAGTTTAAAGTACCTCATAAGATAAATCATTCTTAATATATAATTAGCAAATATACTTCTTCACGCTTAATATTTTATTTAAATCTCGTCATTGTATAAAGTTGATAACATTTTTACGTTGTAGATTACGTTAGCGAAAGAAAGAGAAGGATGCATTAAGTAGTATTACGTCATTGAACGTGATTTTCGTTCTTATGTGGAATTGTGGGTTGCCGCGAAGAATATGAAAGAAGTGGGGCTATTATCAAACCACTCGACAAGTCGTAAATCATATTTAAATAACTGTTAATAAACTAAATTTTAGGTAACAATTTTCCCGTTTCAAATTTGTTTTGAGAGACATTTATATAAGACAAAATTCCTTTAGTCTGGAGGTTTTTCTAGACTGAGTTTCTCTATTAGCCTTTTACGTTTAAGCAAAGGACTTCAAATCATTTTTGTTATATTCTGGCTTTTTGTGAAAGACCGACTCCTACTAAAAAAAAAGTAAGAAAGCGAAGAATGAAACCTGAATAGTTTTATTTTACGTCATTAAATTTAAGTGAGCAAATTGATTTCAGGAATACTCAATTAGCATGTGTTAAGTTAAAGTAATATAAGATTGAGGAATGCCGACAGAAGTGAAAAATTAGAACTGGAACATTTTTTTTTCAATTTTTATTGAACAACTATCTCTGTGACACACAGATAATTTTTTCGACGGGTCCGCGTAAAATTTATGTTACGTTAACTTCCTTACAATACAGAATAATTTTATCCTCAAGTTAGGCCAATGTTTAAAAGAAAAAGAAAGAAAAAAAACGAAAAGAAATTTTAAAATAAAAATCACAAAACACTCGTTTAATTTGCAAAAGACCTACATTATTTCTGACAATTTAAACCATTTTAAGCAATTACATTTTTATTAATAGCTTTAGAGAATATTGATTTTGGAATGCGCCAAAAAATACTGTCATACAACTAGAAATTTGTTTTACAGAGATAAAAAAATATCTAAATTTTAACAAAGACAAAACACACGACATAAATATGTCGGTGATGCGAACCTATGAATTTTTCTCCGTCCAAAATTGCCCTGCGTGACTATATAAGTTTTCGGTTCAAATATATTTTAATGCATAAGTCGATGACGAACAATTAGCTTAGTTTAGTTTACACGCGAGTTAATTAATGGAAATTTCATGCTATAAGGAAATTACAAGACACGCCTGATTATTTGATAAAAATGTGTTAAATAATTTGACAAACATTCCTAACAGACTTCATCGCAGTTTATTTGAAACTGGAAAATTCATTTCATCTTATTATAGTGGCCTAAATAAGAGAAATATTAAGTACTCACTACTTTTCTGGTTTCTATTTGTTGACTTTAACACAAACTGATATAAAATCGATTATGTTCTATTTCATTGTAAATCAATTTACTTATTTTCAATATTTTTTAATATTTTAACATTAGAGTTATAGTAACTCAGTGTTTGGGTGCTTGCTTTTAATTCAGGGAAACTCAACTATCAGTTTCTATCCAAAATTCGTATAAAGAAATATTTAAAATGTTTGGATAACTTGCACAGTCCTCAACAGGAATTATACCCTAATACCCTCTGCACTAACAAGCCATTTGCCTAGCAGCAAGACATAAAAGTCTAATTAATTACATTGCTTTTGCATTTTTTAATTTTAAACTTTTTAGGTCACAGCATTGTGACAATATTCTGGTTGTGAACACAGTACTGCGTGCAGGAATAGGTTAAACTTATTTTTAACCATTTCTGTGAACTACATTTCAATTAAGAGCCTTGAAAGCAAAAGTCAGTTAAACATCTCTCTTTAAATCGAAATCTGTTCGATTCCACCAATTTTAGGAATTTATTACCAATTCGTGAAAACCAGAGCCGGTGAAAGCCTTTTACAGGTTTATTAGGACTGAGCACGCTCAAAGTACGTAAACAATGTTTCCTTCGAATATTTTGTACAAGAACGTGCCAATCGGTCAGAAAAGCATTTCTATAGGCCGTGCAACTAAAAACTGTTACACAAAAGAGCGTAGCTTTATTGAGGCAATAGTTTTAACGTCCTTCCAGCTGTTTCATAGTCGAGACCAACCACCGTTTAACTTTCCATTGTTTATATTTTTTAAACGGGGCCTAAGACAACGGAGCAATGAGGGATAAGAGATTATCTATAAGTACAGACCTTGCCTATGGGGCTGCAAAAGAAGTTCGTTAAATAATCTAGTTATATGGTTTCTTTGTTACAGTAAGCAGTGTTGATTTATTTGCACATTCCCAGTGTTGGAGTTTTGTTTATATTACCATTTTTAAAGTTTTTTGAGATAGTTGCAATTCGAAAGAAATGTGTCAATTTACGTTTTATTTTAAAGAAGTACTTCGGGCAACAAATATTCTTATTATTAAAGATTTAGATTCAATCCTTCTTTTGGCAACAGTTATCCTATTAGTCCTTTAGGAATACATGCTCGATATTGACGGGCACAATAAGAAGATGCCCCCGCAAACAGGAAAGTAAAAAAAAAATCGTAAATAGTCACGGTATTCACCTGCATAAAATCAACCTGACGGCGAACAAAAACAGGTCGCTCAAATGACATTATATAAAGGTTATAATCTATTGACGTTGAGGTATCAGGTTGCACAATTCAAATGGTGAAGATTCACCACAGGGGTGGGCGTCGTTACCTGGATTTTTTCACGATAAATGTTCATTTCGCAAATTTCCTTTGTGTCGGTTACTATTGATGCTCTATTAATCTGGATGTATCGGTTGGTATGGTCCAGCGGAAAACAAGAAATCGACTACCTTTCGTTTTTTCGTCTTCGTTTGACTACTATACAGGACTCTATCAATAAAATGAAAGTCAAGAGATCACTGGTCAGTAACCACTAAAGTTCTATTGTAGCCGAAATGATGGAAGTGGAATGGCTTAAACATATCAAATATCATAGAATATATTCGGCAAACCCAAAAAACTCGTGCAAGTTTCGAATAAAACTAAACGAATAAATCAAGTTTTACCACAACTTGTACCTATTTACTAGTTTAGTAATTTGTTTGGTGTCAAAAGGCTAGGACTGCTAATCAAAAAAACGAGCTTCGTTCATTATTCAATAGGTACATAATATTTTAGACATAGAATTTTATGTTTGTTACAAATGCGTTTCGAGGAAGAAATTACAATGATTAAAACATCAAAAAAACTATAAATGAACGATTTTTCATTGCATAAAAACATAGATTATTAAGGAAAACTTAAAAGTTGATTTTATAGAATTCCTGAAGTAGTCATTATTGAACTTCATAATAGAATAGCCAGATGTGCCTATAGTATAATAAGATCATCATTATGTCACCTTTCATAGAAAAATTATTTCATAATCGAAAAATTAACTTCATCCTTATTAATCCCATTGGCAAAACTTGGTGTGCGATAAAATTAGAATGACACGGTAATAGGACCCCAATGACACATAAACGTATTATTATAAAATCGGACGCCGTGGCAACGGACCGGTTTCCGAACGGGCCCGACCGCGCCAAAATGGCGGACACGTTTGCCGCCAAAATCAGCTGTTCGCGACGTGAGAGAATGCTTCTTACCCTACATCAGCACGTTTGGGGGCAAAAAGTGTTATTATACCGTGCATTGTCGCCACGACAACTAGTTTCAACAGACAATGGCAATTATCGGCGAGTGTTTATTTTAATCCCTATCGCCGGTTGACGTTCGGACGCGCGGATTTGGCGGGAATCAGCTGTGAACGGCGAACACGTTCGACCGGTCGATTCACCATGAAACCCGCCGTTCCGCGAACTTACGACGCGACAACGACTTTATGCGTGTTTTACGATTTTAGGGCGTCTAAAACTTACGTTTATTTAAAAAAAAGAACTAGCAACACTCCGATGGATACAGCTTAGTGCGGTGACCTTGATGTTACACATGATTCAGGGCGTATTTTTATCAGGAAACGTTTGTACACAAATCGATCGTATAAAATAAGTGTATTCAACAAGTAGTTTTCCCGACAAATGTTGCTTAGCAAAAAATCGCTTGGCGCGCGAAAGCCAGCGACAGCGGAGCGACACGTCCGAAAGCGCGGTTCCGTGGTAGAGGGGCGCCTCAGATCGGCGAATCAGCTGAGCGGCGGTGTTTTTTTTCCAACGTCTCTCCGACTTTTTTTCGGTCGCCTCATTATTGTGGAACAGGTTTGTGACTTTAGCGCGGCGCATTCCTTCATTTCGGTGCGCTTTCTGGGAACGGGCCGGCGTGGGCGCGTCGGCCGGGGCTTTTTTCACCGACTCGACCTTCGGGCGTGCAGGTAGGCCCGCGATTGTCCGGCGACCGCTTAGGTCCGTGGCGCCCCGGCTGGGTGTCCGGTTCGCTTCCGTGCGAGTCGTCCCTAGAGAAGGGCTAGTTGGAGTAAGAATTAAAAAAAAATTGTTTTAAAGAAATTCCGTGCGAGTCGTCCACAGAAGGGCTGGTTGAAGTGAGAATTTTTAAAAAATAATTAGAAAGGTTCATTGGAAGAAATCACTTTTATTACTGAGCTTTAACAAAACAGTTATTTTTTCGTTGTTCGCAAATAAGTTTGTTCATTATGATCATTATTATTACTAGATAAAATTTTCATATTTTAGAATGTTCTTTCTACTGCTACGTTCGTTTATGTTTTACGTGAGACCACAAACTTACTAACAGTAGATTACAATTCGAAATTATTCAAAACCAAATAATATAAAAGCAAAGAAAAAAACCTATATTTGAGTTTTTTTACTAGCAACATAAAAGCTGACCATTAGCTTTATACAGAAAGAAAAAAAGAAAAACGTTTGACAAATACAATAAGAGGAGTAAAAAAGGGTACAGAAATGTTTTGTTTTTTATAAATATGTATAGTAAATTAGTTATACAAATGTCTTAAATCTCCGCCAAGAATAAAAAAAAAATAAAATGTAAAAATGATATGAGGAAACTCGTTTAAATCGTCTTATGAATGAATTCAAATTAAATTCCAACTTATGCCTCTTAAGAAAAGGTTTTATATGAAAGTATGAACGGCGGAATGATTGTAGGAATACATTTTTAAAATAGATTTGTTGTCATATACAGCTCATGTCCGGCCGGGCACTCGCCTTTAATTCAATATAATCGAGCGACCCGAGTTCGATCCCCCAATTTCGAAACAATAAAAAAAATATTTAGAAAATATGCCCATATTCTGCCAATCAGCGGTGGGTTCGCGAGGAGTTATGCCCTAATACCCTCTGTACAGAGGAGGACTTTGCCCAGCAGTAGGACAAAATAGCCTGTCACTTTACTTTTTATTCTTACACATTTGTTAACGGTAAATATGTCGGTATAGTAATAAAGGGACGTTAGAAAAAGGTGTCATTTTTAAATGTACAACTAAATGTAGAAAGAAAGAAACTAAACTGAACGTAGAAGAATGCTCGACGAAATGCGATCAAATTTTATTTGATTTTTATGAACGTTTACTCTTTCGTGGAGTAAATGTTTTTTTCTTTTTAAAACGTTGCTAAAGTAAGCTTTAGGATAACATTATCCTGCTTTAAGGATGTTTCAGAAACATAAATTTTACGGAGAGAAACACCCAGATGCAAATTAATTATCTGTGGATCGCACAAATCGTTTTATGTGTTGGAATCGAACCAGCGACCACCCAACGATGCCACGGAGTCATCAAAAATGTTGATCAGCATTGAAAAATTGCAGAGGAATTGATTGCGATATTGACTCGTAGTGTTGCGTTAGAGGGAATGGAATGTACGTAAGCTGGCGCGAGGCCTGCTTTCGATGCAAGGGTCGGGGTAATCCCCATGCCTTGGGCATAATCTCGACCAGCAAAGGCTGGGCGATGGTGAGGATGGTCAACGGCCACCCGTTTCCCTGTCCGCGGTAGCGGCACTTGCGGGTGTTACACGCGGTGTGTAACGCGTGGACTACATCGTCTTCTCGACGGCGGAAGTGCGGTCGGGTGCGGCTCCCCAGTGGCCTCCGACCGCAGTAGCTCTCGTGGGAGCGGGCGCCCGTCACGACGGCGGGCGTGGAGGTGTGCGATGTTTTGGAGGCGTGGGTGTGGTCCGTTGTCGGCCCTGTCGTACATGCGACGGGCCAACCGGACCACAGACTCTTCGATAGTCTCCATCCTCAGGTCACGAGCTATTACGTCGTTCCTGACGTAACGCCCGGCCCCCACGATCACTTGAAGGGCGAGGTTTTGCTGCGCCTGGAGCCTGCGCCCCTGCGAGGCGGAACCAGACCGTACCACGCCGAAGCGGCGAGGGTCAAGCGCGAACGGACGTACGTCTTGTAGACGCCGAGCTTGGTCTTGGTAGGTAACCTGGATGCCAGAATAGGGTATAGCATGGTTCGAGCTGGCCTGGCTTGTCGAACGGCGTGTCCGACCTGGGGAGCCATGCACAGCGAGCGCGTTAGAGGGACAAGGATATTTCCTGAATCATTTGACATTTGACGACCCGAATGGCGTAGTGGGTAGTGTACCTGCCTTCTGTGCCAGAGGGTGTGGGTTCGATCGCCACTACAGGAAAAATATTGTACGATGAGCATAGTGCTTTTCTAGTGTCTGGGTGTTTATATATGTATAACATGTATTTATTTACAAAAGAAAAGTATGTTTAAGTATGTTCATCAGTTATCTAGTACCCATAGTACAGGCGTTGCTTAGTTTGGGACTAGAGAACGTTGTGTTAAAAATGTGTCCTAAATATTTATTTATTATTATTTTATCAACTGTTACAACAACTCTCCGTGGACACACTAACAGTTGTCCCGTGTGGGAATCGAACCCACGACCCCCGACGCTGAAGCCAATACCTTGGTAACTGTGCCGCGGAAGATCAACTATATCAATAAGACCGCAGCCAGTAGAATTACCCTCGGTAAAGACCCAGCACCAATAAGGACTGGATCAACGAGCCGCTTGATAATTTACCGCGCTATATGGTCACAGGCCTTGTGCGAAGCTAATAATAAACGAATGCGAAGCTACGTGATTTACGCGTTCACTAGAAGGTCGAAACGCTGATAAATTAAATTGAAACATCGTGTATGCCGCCAAAGGACGCCAAACGATCCAAAGAGTAAACAAAAAAATCAATTCTCCAATCATCATATCTGGAAACCGATGGAACAAATCTTGTAACACGAAAGAAAACGGAATTACAAATTTCAACGTGGAATCTATCTAGTAACTTCTAGATACAGACTCAAGCATCACACTGCAGAGCTTCAAGATGCAGCTAGAGTTTTCTGCATGGACCAGACCAAAAGGAAACCGAGTGTGGCTCGTCTGAAGAACTCTGCAGCACTGGCTCACCGAACACGACATGGAAGAAGTTGCGGAGAAGTGACCAATAAGTTTATACTGCATAATGACGAAATAAAAAAAATATTAATGAGGGATCTAACAACAGTTTTGGACGTAAAACCACCCAGTGTGTTCCATGATTGTTAGTTAATTCATTAAGACTGACGTTAAACACGGTTGTCAGTTATATTACCGCTATAGATAAACTACTAGCGACCAGCCCCGGCTTCGCACGGGTGAAATGTAATACATATATGTATACCTTCCTCTTCAATCACTGCTGTTGCGTCGTTTTAAAGATCTAAGCATACACAAGGACAGATAGACAGCGGGATGACTTTGTTTTATACTATGTAGTGATACTACATTATTGTACACTCAGTCCTTACTTTTTTTTACACATTTCAGGTAGAAAACACTATGTTTATCAGATACTCGTAATATTTTTCTAGTAATCAGGAGTCGAACTCATACCCTCTAGCGCAAGAGATAGTTTCAATATCCACTACGCCAGTTAGGTCATCATTTCAATCCTTTACTTTTAATTGTACACAGTTACAAGTTAATTGGCTAAAAATAATCGAGCTCACAGAAAACGATGTAAGGTAAGAGTATTCTTTTTTTATGTGAAAGTTGCCAAACGAGCAGACGGTTCACCTGATGGTGAGTGAATACCGCCGCCCATGGACATCTGCTACACCCGAGGGTTACAGAGGCGTTGACAGCCTTTTGAAAATTTTGCTCCGGCTACCTCACTCACCAGACGAAACGCGAAAGTATTTGTCATACTTCTATGAGGTCGTGGGTTACCCATTCGCGCAACAGCCGAGGCTGCTGCGTGGCCCTACCACCGTAAAAATATAGCACGTATCACAGTACCTTTGCGTCTGTCCGCAGAGTGAGGTAACCCGTTTATTATTTATATTTATGTTATGGGTAGTAAACGTCTTTGCATTTTTGAATAAAACGATCTTTTCTTTTTCCTTTTATCACTTTTAATTTGTTTTTAAATTTCCGAATCTGTTGCATATTTTATAGTTCTTTTTTTTGTTTTCATTATGTCTTAAACGACAAATATCTGACTGCGGAAATAGATTTTTACTATGGACACGTTTAACTATACTTAAGTTAGTTTAGTTAACCATTTTTAAAAAAGTAATCATTATTTTCTACATGTGTAATAAACCCTTTCTGTTAAAAACTTATCCGGATCTAAACGAAAAAACATAAGAAGACCGGTAACTAAGACTGTACAACCTTTGTCGGAGAGGACGGGTCTATAAAATAAAAAAAAACACCGTATCCTCCACAGATCCTTATTTGCATGACACTTAACATTCCCCGCGAAAGTGGGGCCCAATAAAAATCGAGCCAACACTACATTGTCGGCATGAATTCAAATTGAAACGCAGAAAGAAACCTTTATATTGTCGAACCTGCAAAGCCCAAGGCCGTTAACGACCCTGGTTTGCTACTAAAAACTGAGTCAATTTTGAGACGACATTCCGATGTAAAAATTGCATCTATTCAAAACGCTATATAAATCCACAAGTAACTTCAATTATATCAGTTATAATTCGTAACATAAAAATTGTAATCAAACAAACAGAAGGACACGCGCCAATTTCGCAGTTCCTAATAATGCAATCGGCACAAAATCAATAATATTCCTTTTTTTATCGTTAAAGCAAGCTTTTTTTTAATAAATGCCGTATTACATAATCTATAACCACGTCACCTGTCAGATAACATTTCGGATTGAACAAAATAAAACTCTAATTCTACCATGTAAAGCTTAAATTACCTTGGTGAAACCACCGTGCCATAATAAAGTTTTCCCTCGCTTTTTCATGGGGTCATTGTCGGTCAAGAAACAGGTATTCTGACCCTACTCATTGAATTTTACACCTTGAGATTACAGTTTAAGGCTTAAAATTCATTGACAGTAAAAATTTCTCACGATCCATATTGTAATGCTTCGAAAAGATCACGAGTGGTTGTCAAAGAAAATTAAACTTTATTCCAAAGGGATAGCTTTACAAACAGCTTGGGTTTTCGGTACAGAGTTTCGCGCGCTTTTTTCATTGAGCACGCACGTGGTTTGTGGTCAATGTCTTATAATTTGCGCTATAAATTTGTTCCTACTCTATGTTTTCTAATTAATATGGACGTCTGAATAACTCGAGAGTCTTCATTCAAAAGAGGAAATAACTGCACTTTATTGTATTATCATATTATGAAGATGTTCGTTAGCAACGTTTCAAATTCTTTACACAGCTGATTTGTATCAAACATATCTATTCAATACGCTTTTATTGGATTAACCTGTGTTCAAATGCTCACACAATGCATGTATTTGCTGGGATCGTGTATAATATTTCACTTAAGTCAACTTTTAGACGACCGAATACTTTGGAATTTCTTAATTACGTCATAGTATACTGGCATAGACAAAATCGACTTTATGTACTATGTAGCATATTAGGATGTAGGCGTGACGGGCTATGCTAAAATACCAAACGTTCAAAGAATCTTCCCATCAGTCAGACTTGTGTTATGTTCGGTTTTGATTATTTAATTTTAATATCGGAAAAAAAATTAAAACTAGCTGAATCAAAAATTTTATTATAATAATAGAAACATCGCATGTTTGGAAGGGAATAAAACAAATTAAAATAAAAAATACAACCCCCTAAAAATACTACCTAAAAATATGATTAATTTATAAATTTATTCCATCGAATTACGTTCCAATCCTTTGTATTCATTTCAGAATACTTTATACCTACTTATTTCTTGTTTTCGCTGAATTAACTAATTACAACCACTAATCTTACAATAATTAATAAAAATAAATACTATTGCAAATGTATCATGAAAGAGACCTCGTTAAATTTAATGTAGTTCGACTGTTACATTATACGGCGTAATATTTACTACTTGTTTCTGTGTGAAACGCGATGCGAAGCGTTACTTTTTAAATCCGG